GAGTGTATTCAAACACACACATGGGGGGGGGGGCACACAGCATGATTGTGGGAAGGTCACAGAGGCCCCTATTTGGCCTCCAGTGACATCACAGAGCAGTATGCTAATAATGGGAACCGTGAATGCTTTGGGCGAAAATGCTGCCGTTCCTACGGAGCTCTCATGCGCCGAGAAAAGGAAGGGAGACACCCCCTCCACCCAGCCACCATCACCACCCCCATTTCCTCTCTCTCTCTCTCAGTGCCACTCTGTCCCTCACTTTAAATTACCATTACTGGACTCAGGGCACAGGAATTGTCTCTGCTCCACTTGTCAGATGTGGGACACTGAAGAGCCCTCGCTCACATCTCATCTCCGCTTCTTGCTCCTTGCATTTCTCACTAGTGCTATAAGCTTATGCACCCATCTTCTCAACATCTCACTTCAACTGCTGGGGTCATTCTGTCGTTGCCATCATCCTCCATCCCTCAATGAAAAACACTGTGCTTAAAAGGCTGCATCACATTCAAGTACAGCTTGTAAAACACAACTCCTGCTGAAAGAGGTCTGATCCTTGCAATCATAATATGTCTGATCCAGCAGAAAAAGCCCTACAGGCTTAGAATTATGGCTGTGTGTGTGTATGTATGTAGACAGTAAAGATTACTGTATATATGTGTACGTCTCATCTGGAGCATCTCTGAAGGGCTGCGGCCTGACACGTGAGCACGTGGCTCAGCAAAACAACACACAGCTGATACAATTACATTGCTCACAGTCACACACACAGACCTCGTACAGACTTCGACATTTCCTCTCATGCAGTATTTTGTACATTTTTGACAGTCGCGTGCCACAATGATTTTAAAAAAAAAAAGCAATCTGACAAAAAGCAGCAGAGCTAATGAGTAATATGTGCCCTGAAAGTATCCAGACAGGTTTTTGTCGTACTGTTCTAGGTGTTTGGAGTGATTAAGCAGACGGCTTTCCTCTGAGGAACTTCTCATCCAACGCAGCAAAAGCAGTGAAAGATTAACTCATTTTAACAGCTGCATATTAATAAATGTAATTCCAACATACCAATTTAGCTCAATGCCCAGACCTCAACAGCAACTGGCCTTTAACAAGTCCTTTATAAAACTGTATCACATGCAGGTGTATTTCCACCTCATAATTCTGCTGCCTGTTTCCCAAACCTTAAGAGGTGATCTAATTTACTAATTATAATTTCAAATACTAATGGGTGAGCCTCACATTAGATTCCAGTGCACTGTGAGCATTTAAAACTAATCTAATGTAGTCTTAGGCCTGCATGAGGCTCTTCCAAGTCAGCTGTGACTTCTTAAGGACTTGGGGCATCTGCGGATCCACATTTCTTGCACAGATGGCTGTAATATACAAAGCCATTGCTCTCTTTTTATCCATGCACATATAGACCCTGACCTCCCATCCACAGAGAAGGGGATGTTTGATTATTTGGATGCTGGGTCCCTCCTCTATGTTTGCCAGCCTCCTGCGTTAACAATAACCACTGCAGGACATAATAGAGGGTCTTTTGGGGCGTTTTGTGCCATTTGAGTGCGTCAGGCTGATGTGTGTGTGACGACAAGTCGTCCCCACGTTGTAAGTGCGCGGAAAAATAAATCAATCGAATGATTTAAGCGTGTAATTAAAAGGCTCCAGGAGGCGCATGCCGATGAGGCGAAACACCCCGAGGCTCAGCAGGTGTTTTGTTCTCCCCAGGCATCTCGGAGCGCATGCAACGGCAGACTGTGTTCAAAGCAGCAGTTTGCTGATGTGTTATTATTAAGATTTGCCCATCGTCGTGATTCAAAGCCCTACCTTTCATCCAGTCCACCACTTGACCGGAGCTCCACTTGCTCACAGGCTCCATCACCAGTGCCATGGGTAGAAGTTTGGATTGACAAAAGAAAGAAGAACACACCCAACAATCCCTGCACCCCCTCCTCCGATCTCAGGAAAAAATCTAAAAATATCAGAATTCAGCACATGGATTCTGCTCAGCTGGTGGGTGTTTACAAACAAAAAGGGGGTAGGTCCATCAGGTCCGAAATAAAATGTCGCTTTAAGGAGCAGGAGCGCAGCCCGGCGGACTCGTGCACATTCCTGTGCGCTTGCTTTGCTCACAGAGACCTCCTGCACTTGTCATTCACGTCAGGCTCAGTGGCGGTGATGATGGTGGGTCGCTGCTGCCTGAGCCCCCTTCCAAAACACATCCCTGTACCATCCAGAGGAGAGGAGAGAAGAGGAGAGGAGAGGAGCAGCGCACAGGCTGACGGTCATCCTGCTGTCTGGAGAGGCTGGCTGCGCTCTGAGCATCCTCCCTCCCTCCCTCCATCACACACACACACAGAGTCATAGCCCTCAGCATGCGAAGTGTGTGTGAGTATGAGGCGCGATTAGTGCCACACATGTGGTGGGGGGGGAGTCTGAGGAGGGGTTACACCGGATTTTGGTGACAAGATGTGGTGAATGAAAGAGAAAAGCCAGTTGAAGTAGACTGACACTCGTAAATACCAGTCCCCTAAACATGCCAGATTTGTTTTCAGCAAGATCCAAGATTAAATCTCTGAAAAATCGAAGAGAAATCACCCAAAAAATGCCTTATGTTGCAATGTTTAAGAAAGTAAACAAAAATGGAAGGATCCACACCACAATTGAATGGGTTCTTCCCTGACTCATACCACATCCTTCCACCAAATTCTGTGGTGATCCATCCAGCATTTTCTTTGTTATCTTGCTAACAAACAAACGTACAGGGGTGAAAACATAACCTTGGTGGACCTATGACAACACTCTGCATTACAGTGCAGGCTTGAAGAAGTAGAATGTTATGTCCAATGGTTGTCATGACTGACCAATCACAATAGAGTGGGCCAGCTGACCATTCAGAGCAGACTGGGCTTTATCAGACAATGGGGTTAAAGAGGGAGGAGCTAAAACCAGTGATTCAGACAGAGGCTGAAAAGAAGGTTTTCTGAAAATTAGAGCAAATAGATCCCTTCGAGTATAATTTCAATTATGACCCCAAATGTGAGTATAATATCTCTATAAAATGTTGGTGGTTTTGACTGAAAAACATACATCTTGCTCCATGGTTCGGCTTGTGAAAGAAGCATCATGCAATAGAAAGCTTCCCTATCTAACTGCTCAAAGCAATATCCACTGGCCAAACTGGCCTTGTGTAACTTTTTTCCTTGTGCAAAAAAAATTCAAGTTGTCTGTAATAGTGGACATGCTTCAATGAACATCTTGAAGTACCATGGGCCCACAAAACATCCTGCAGTGGCAGCCATCATTCCTAGCCTATATCTCCACCGCCCCCTCCACGAGGAGCCCCAAGCAAACAAAAGGAACCCTTGAGCCACAATGAGGACATGATCCATCACTAGATTGGACGCTGTGAGAGCACGGAGATGGAGGCACTGCAGCCATGGAGTGGGCCCCACATCTAGGCAGTCACTGGTGGAATATTCTGATTTTTAAAGGCACAAGGTTCAACTTTCCAAATGCACAGTGGGCAGCACTAATGATGAAACAACAGTTTCCCTCTACAGCAATGTAAAAACAACATGCACAATTAATAAATGCATTCATCCCAACTTCTCCTCCTCCTCTGCCTCTCCTCCCGATCCCTCGGGCACTAATCACCCCTCATACACCCACTGTTTCCTGCTGCCGCCTTTGTCACTGCTCAGCCTCCATCACACAAAGCGCAGTGTGGTGGAAACTCGTTGGTGTCTCGGTCGCAAAGAGACGAGGATGCAGCTGAGTCTGTTACAGCTTCATAATGTAAACATCAGCTGCCTGATCACTTATTACATGCCCGCCATTAAACTGGATGTCAAATCATATAGATCGGTAGTTACATAGTTTTTTCAGTTCCAACAACTCATCCATTCTTTCAGTGGAATAACTTAACAATTCAGTTCAGCTCATATCAAGTCCATAGGCTTCACTGACGAATAAAGAGCAGGACAAGCAGGATTTTACTGGTATGAAGGGTTGCCCAGTAAACCAGCAGCTGTATGGGGCCAATGCAGCAGAAAGCTCATCAGTGATAGTTCTGACATCAGGATAATCAATAATCATGAATTAATACTGATTCATACAATGTGAAGCTGGATAATATGGTTTCTCTTAAAAATGGAGTTAATACAAGAATGATATATGAGCAAATGCACTGCTCTTGTAGCAGCTGGAGACTTTTTTTAACTGGTATGAATCATATTTTGCAGTAGAAGGATATTGCAGTGCAGCTCTGGCCCTGCACACAAACACTCACAGTAGTTGTAGTTACATTTGACATAAATCTCGTCTGACTGCAGCGCCACAATATAGATGAAGGTGGATAGATTTCCCTGGCTAATGGATGCAATAATTCATTTATTTTAAAAATGAAACACTGAACTGTTCTAATGATAGTCAGAACTCATTATTAATGGTAAACAGTTCAAATTAAATCTTTATTTATTGCCATAACCTCCAGCAAAATACTTTTATAGTGAAAAGAATCATTAGCTACTGTGCTTCTCCTCTATATTTTTCAGAAGACAGTGTTGTATGTTTACTCTGCCACATTCAGACTCACAGACTATATAATATTTTATGAAGAAAATATATTTGATCAGCTCATGAAATATGATTGCATGTTATAGATTTAACTACCCAACAGTATTTCAACACTACATTTAAATTCTGCACATGATAGACAAAAAGTATAAAAATATAAATAGATCAATAAATAAATGCAGAAATGAATAATTACTTGCCATAGAGCACAGGCTGCATGTATGGTACTTAAAGTTTCATTTATGTAAAAGATAGATATTCTGAAAAGTACACAATAAAATATTATTGTATATAAAATAAAGAGTATTCATTCCCCCACTGATCAGTCCCCCTCCTCTGGAGGAGCTCTCATGTTTGAGTGCATGTTATTCATTTTGCGAACCACTAGGGGGCAGAGCCTGTTTTGGGCCGTTTTACTATAAGAAGAAGCAGAAGAAGAAGACGAGGCAGAAGAAGATCAACAAGATCAGCAACAACCAGAAACAGATCATTTAAGGTCAGTCGCTTTCTGCTGAATTTAATTAACAAGTATTAACAAGTAATAATAACATGTCGAGACGTGTCACTGACATGTGTGACCGCTGACAGTGTTCGGTCCCAGACGGCGAGGCGGAAGTTTAAAGTTCAAATAAGGAAACTGTCAGATACGGTCGTGTTATAAGATGGTTTCCGTCAGTCAGGGAGCTTCAGCCTGTGACATGAAGTTTAACACAAGAGACGTGTTGATGGTGGGCAGGCTGCTCACTGGTTTTCTTACATCAGGTCAATCATTTTGGAGCTATACGACCTGTTTATAAGAGGCCTGTGAGTAAGGTTATAACACTGGCTTAATAAGGGACTACATTTTTTTATCAGAGAAGAAAAACAGTATGATAGAACAAAATGAGTTTTACTGTTCCTCTTCCCAAACATGTGGATAACATGTTTAACATGAGTAAAACTTTACTGTAACTCTGTATGAAGCAAAACATTAGTTTATCTTCCTGTTCTTTATCAGCCATTTCCGTGTGAGACGCTAAACTCTTGTTATTCCTCTCGGTTGTAAGTTCAAGAGATCACTCTGTACGATCAGAAGCTGAGCAAAGTGAGCTGCACCATGCACCAGCAGAAACAAACTGTATAGAACAATCACTTAGGGAAATGTTGTTTGCAATCACAGGATTTTGTGTCGGAAGTTGAGCAATCATAACACGCATACATACATAATGTTATCCATTTCCAAGTTTAAAGTAAATGGATTTTAAAGTAAATAGACTGAATACACTGAATCCCGTAAATCTGGTTTGGTATAAATTTGTTCACACCGATGTGTCCTGATATAGAATTTCAGAAGAGATATACTGATGGGTCCTTCATGTTGGTTCTTCTACAGGTACAGACAGGTTACAGTCCAGAGACTGTCCCTGGAAAACAAAAAGTGATCCCCGCTCACTTGGTCGTAATGTTAGCCTCTGGCTGACCTGCTCAGTGACATAATGGATGACAACGAACTGGGTGCTGTGGCCATGGAATCAGATAGCTCTTCCCTTGGGGATGCAGTGTCTGGTAGAGGACAACAGATTGTGTCAAATGAAGAGGAAGATCTCTACTACATCCCAGAGAGAAGACCATCTCTGGACCTGGGACAATGGTCAACAAGTGCAATGGATACCAGCCGCTGGTAATGAAGTACAAATAGAAAAATAACAACTAGGCTCTGTGTATGTGTGTCTTGCACACCTTTTGCTGCAGGCCAACAAGCAATAAAACAATTGCCATACATTTTTTCAGGCATTATGTGGACCGGGCCCGATCTCCAGTTCTAAGCTATACGTCACAGGCAACTGAGGAAAGCTCAATAGAAATGGATGATGAATCATCCACAAGGTACAAACAGAACAAAGTATTCAGTCCATACATTCATCACATTAAGCAGCTGTGCCTAACAATATACTGTAGCTTATACTGTATCCATGGAGAATTTCTTATGACATCATTTAATTTTAACAAAAGCCCTCTTGTCTGTCTGATTTTAGGATTCAGCTGGAAAGATCAGATTCGTTCTCTAGCTGCTACTCCTTCAACAGTGACGATATTGAACAGATAATCAAGTACGAAATACAACCATGGCAAGACACTCAAATGTCTGTGTGTGTGTGATTACAGTCAATTTGTTGACTGACACTAAAAACATGTTTAAATCTCTCCCCTGACACCAGAGCTGAAATCAAAGATGATATTGTCTCAGAACCTTTTGTCACACCTGAGGCAATCCAAACCCAGAGTGAGATCAGGCACCCTTCTCTGACGGTGGAATTCACTTTCAAGGTCAGTTTGTCCCCCCTATTGTTTGTAATCGATTGCGTACAAAACACCCTTCAGTTGATGACAACGCTGAATTTCATCTTTCTTTTGGAATCAGGCCATCTGTGGTACCCTTAGGAAGTTGTCAGAGGTAGCTGTCAAGACATTCAAGACGATGCTGTGGAAGCATTACCCACAGTCATTCAACACTCCTCCCCAAGACATGGACATACTGGACCTTGTGGACTGGCTGCTCGAGAGTTACAGCCTGGAAGTGTCTTTGCAGATAACCAAAATCATTCTTGGGGAGATGGGGCAAAAAAAGATGGTTGATGATCTCCAGACTTTGTGTCTCCGAAGTAAGTTCACTCCTACAATGTCTTCATTTCTTATTACTGTTCAATTAATCGTTATATAATACACATTTTCCTTTTTTCAGATGAAGTACGACATGATTTATGTGAGACTCTGAAGAGGATATATGGTGAAGTATGTGAGGATATGGCCTTGCCGGAAGAGAAGATTCCCTTTGACGACGTCTTTACTGACCTCAACATAACCTCCACATGTGATAACGGCCCAAATATTGAACATGAGGTCATGACCATAAAAAAACTGGACAGCAACCGGGAAGCAGGGATGCGTCTTTCTACCAAGGATATTTTAACCTCTGAAAGGCTGAAGGACTCCAACACAAAGTTGCAGTTGATGACTGGAGTGGCAGGGTCGGGGAAATCAATGGCGGTCAGAAGGTTAGTCCTGGATTGGATTGAAGGGCGTTCCCACCAAGACGTGTCTTTTTTGTTTCCTCTGCTGTTCAGAGAACTCAAACAGTTTGAGGATTCCACAGCCTCCTTTTTGGAAATAATACAAAAACTCTACCCAGAATCTAAAAAGCTGAGAGATGAGGATTATAGATGCGAGGACTGCAAAATAATGTTTGTCTTTGACGGCCTTGACGAGTACAATGGGACGCTCGACTTTGAAAACACTATGCTTCTCAGCGACCACACAGAACCCACCACCCTGAACGTCATTGTGGTCAACCTCCTCAGAGGGAGGCTGCTCTACCGCGGCCTCTTCCTGGTCACCTCTCGGCCACAGGTGAAACCCTGCATCCCCTGGGACACGCACTATGATGAGATCGAAGTTCGTGGATTCTGTGACCATGAAAAGGAGGATTACTTTAAGAAGAGATTTAAAGACCCGGATCAAGCAGCCCGAGTTATTGCATATGTCAACTCTTTCAGAACCCTCTGTATCATGTGCCACCTGCCCTTGTTCTGCTCACTGGTTGCTGATGAGTGCTCTCGCATTTTTAGAGAACAGGGGACGGGGGCAGAGCTGCCCAGGAGCATCACGTCCCTGTACACAAAGCTAGTGCGAGTGCTCACACGCCAGCATCGCATATTAAGAGCTCCAGATTTGAGCCTGGATGAAGAGAGAGACTTCCTTATGAAACTTGGAGAGTTGGCCTTCAACATGTTAGAAGAAGGCCAGTTCAAAATCACCAGTTCCGACTGGAAAAAAACTGGAATCGACAACAAGGAGGCGGTGATTAACAGTGGCCTGTGCACACAATATGTCACAAAGCCATACATCTTGTTTCATGAGAATGTCTTGAGCTTTATCCACCCCACCGTGCAGGAGTACCTGGCGGCCCTGTATGTGTTTCTCTCCTTTAGAAACCAGGGAAGGAACGTTTTTGAGCAACAACCGAGAGGCATGCTCAAGATGTTCAAGGTACAGAAAGTCATGGAGCTGTACAAGAGCGCTGTGGACAGAAGCGTGCTCTGCGAAGACGGCAAACTGGACATTTTCCTACGTTTCCTTTTCGGGATGGTGCACGAAACCAACGTGGAGCTCCTACAGCCACTCTACACGTCCTCTGTAAAGTGGCCAACAGTGATTGAAGATGCTGCCACCCTCATCAGGAAGAGGATCAGAGGAAATCATCATCCTGGCAGAAATGACAATTTGCAGCACTGCTTGGAGGAGCTGGGTGTATGTTAGCATCAGAGGCAGTATCCTAATAATCACTGCACAAAATCAGCACACAAAATATGTTGCAACTTACTCAACAGATTCCCGTTGGAAAAAAACTGAGGAGGAAGAATGTTTCTCTTCAACCAACATATGCACTAATGGAGTTAAAAGATTTAAGAGCCAAATGTACAACAACTATTCATCAGTGTTGTAAATACAAGTAGACGTTCGAGCCTTTCCATGGACACATGCATCTGTTTACAAGCTGATGGATAAGGAACCAGCAACCTCAGAACCATGACAACTGACAAAGTAGAGTAATGTAACTTGAAAGTATAGGAGCAGAGAAGCATACTCTGCATGAGTGTTGTATAAAGGCTACTATATACATTATATTTGTCCTGCCTGAGTTTCATCATCATACATTTTTACATTTAAACAACATGAAGTTATCTAACTTGGTGTTTCATTGTAGAGCTGTGTGCAGCGCTCTTTGTTCCACTGTTACTCACTCTCTTTTTCTCTCACACTATCATTGACCATCACCTGCATCGGAACAAATCCAGCAAGAGACGCAGTTCTTCATATTATGTTTGTGTGCCATGGAAATTATATTAAAACGTTTTTTGAAAGTGAAAAAAAACTTTGTGGTGCTTTAAGTTCCATAGTTACACTGATATACTGAAGATGTGGAAACAGAATATTTTAAGGGAATGGTATTTAATGTGTTTAAATATAGGAAGGATTCACAGAAAGTTGTGAAGGAGCCTTACTTTTTGTAAGTTTATAATATACATCATTAATTATTACCAGACTGTTTTACAAGATATGACTCTATAATTTCTTGTTTTTAGGCGGACATGACATCTTTCATTTACATTGTGTTCCATCTTCATTTAATCCAACCTAGTAACATCTGTACTTAAGCTTACACCTCAGCAGGAAGTTACCTTTATATAGATACCAAGATCATTCATTAGACACTGTTTATGTTTAGTATATAATTTACAAGCAGGGGGTGTCTGGGAATACACCAGATTTTAAATTACTGCACTATTAGGGTATTATAGGAATATAGAATATATAACTATTAGCTGTGTGGCGAATGTGTGAAAACGGAATCTGCTTATCAGTTACTGCAGTCGACACATTAAAGAGCTGCAGTTCTGTCATTGCATACATTACACAACTAAAACTTACTTTACTCTAAACCGTGTATCTCACATCCCTACCACACTGTTCAGTCTACTTGCACAGAGACTGGTAGAGTTGTGGTAGAGAGAGTGACACCTGTTCAGACAGACACAACATGTCTGTCACAAATAAATGGTACAGGTAATAATAAATCTATAGGAAAACAACCTCAGGGTGGATTTAGCACTGAACAATAGTTTGTGAGTGAAAGGACAGCATGTATTTTCAAATGCTTCAATGGTACACATATTAAAGAGGGCTAAATGCAAGCAGACACAGGAATGATTCACAACCATAGCAAATAAAAGTGATAGAATATTCTCTATATATTCTGCAGATACATTATAGCACTGCTTTACTACAGCTGTAAAAAAAGTTCATCCAGTTCCACATTTAAATGTTCTGTGTAAAATAAAAATGGTTATAAAATACTTCAGTTGCTGTTTGGTCTGTACTGGCTCTCACCAAACTGTGTAACATCTAATATTAAATTCACAGATTAAGTTGTTAATAAATGAAGACAAATCCATTAGTGTCACATTACTAACATTCAGTGTTTTCCTTTCTTTCGTATCCTTCTTAGCTTTATTTGCTTCTGGGCCATTCCACCAGCACTCATCACCACACAGGTGAAGGTGAATTTGAGGTCCTCTGGTGTGACGTTCTTCAACAGCAATCTCCTCTGGAGGATTGTACCGTCCTCCAACGTTGATCTAAAAACATACAATCAGTCATTACAGCTTTACCTGCAGGATTCTTAGAACAATCACTGTGTACACTGCTTTCTTTGAAGCAAGGATACTGTGGCTTGCAGTTTGATATAAAAGTCATAATACTTACTGTTCTAATTCTACTATTCTGTCACTGCTGGATCTCTCTTCAGGAAAAGAGCCATTGATGAGCCAGTAGATGAGCGTCACTCCATCTTTATTATTTGTAAATGCATCACAGTGAAGAATCAGCGGCTCACCTGTGAAGCAGAACACACCCAAATAGTTTCAGTACATACATGTGTTAAATCAATTTTTAACGATTGAGAAAATAGCTCTTATGGTCAGGATGGAAAGGATGCTTTAAAGTTTTTTACTGCAATTCTGTTTGGAAGAATACCTGTTATTTGATTAATTGTTTTTAAATGTATCCATGTTTTCCTGTTCTTTTGGCCAGGTCATGTAAAAGAGATTTTAATCTCAATGAGACTTTTACCTTTTTAAATTAAGATTATATCAATATATATATATATACAGAAACCCTGATATTAAACAAATCCTTAATGACAAAGCAAATGACAAAAAATACAATCAAAAGTACAACTACAAAGTGCACTACCTGGATTAGCTTTGATTTGGACTCGCTCTGCCCCAATAATGTGTGGAGATCCATCCTCAGACACTGAAGAACAAACTGATGTTAGCAAAAACACTGAATACAGTTATACAACTGTGTCACCCACGAAACAAACTGTACCTTGAAATCCATCTGCAAGCAGCACACACAGGGATCCCAAGGCTGCAACAGGGAAACAATGCATTAACAGTGTCGCTATAAAGATAGTGAAAATGAAAGGGTTGGTGTTATTTAATCTTACCTTTTACTACAGAGGACAGTTTCATATTGATGACACTGGTGAGGTGTTTGCTCACTGCCGTTAAGAACTACTCTATATATATCCACACAGTGATATAATTAACTTCCTCTCCGCCCACTCAGTGTATGTACATTTACACTCAGTGTGTGGGGATTTCCTACGAGTGACCCACTATTGTTCCTGGATGGATGACACACACTTCAAGGTTCGAGGAAATCGAAAAAGTATTTTGACTGAATCCTACTTCTCAGGTCATCAGTAGAAAAGTAATCGGGTTTAAAATGGTGGAACTACCAACGTCAATGATGTGCAGATAATACATACACACAAATCTCAACCATTTGACATTTATTAACCCATCTTGATCAAAACATGAACAATAAAACAACATGATCAGGTTGGCCGTGTTGTACACAAACCTCGAATCAATCAGATCACATAAAAATAAGACTGGCACCATCGGCAGTCACTGAGATAAAGGATCATTCCAGGATGTTTTCTCTCCTCATCATCCTCAACAGATGTTGTTTAAACAATTAATGGTTAATGTTCAGTTACTAGCTGGTATTTTAGCTTTGGTTTGTGCTAATTTCTGATTTGAAAATACATAAAAATATCTTCTCACCTTTCGCAGTAGCTACCCATGCAAATTAATTCTGTTTTTATCCAGACGGGCTTTCTGCTGCAAAACCCAAAATAATGGA